ATATGAACATAGCAGAAGAAACTTTTACAGATTACAGCTTTCTCAGTAGGTATCACTATACTAAATCAAAGAATTAATTAAAAAGACGATATCGAATTCGTCACTGAATTCCCATGTTTATTGGAACACCCTGTAGATCAAAATAAATCAGAATATAAATAAATAGATCATAATAGATAAGAATAGATCAGAATAAATCAGAATCGATCAGAATATAGATAGGAATGGAATAGAATAAATCAAAATGGAGATGAGAATTGATAAGAATAGATCAGAATTCATCAGAATATAGATAAGAATGAAAAGGAATATATCAGAATGTAGTTCAGAATAGACAAAAATAGATAAGAATGGAATATAATAGAATAGAGCAGAATAGATCCGAATAGATCAGAATAGTAAAGAATAGATCAGAATCGATCAAAATAGAGATAAGATTGGAATAGAATAGATCAGAATATAGATAAGAATGGAATGGCATAGATCAGAATTGATCAGAATATAGATAAGAATGGAATATAATAGATCAGAATGTAGATCAGAATGTAGATCAGAATAGATCAGAATAGATCAGAATAGATCAGAATAAGCGATAATGGACAAAGATGTGCCAAATATATAAGAATGATACAGAAAGCACCAAAAGGTAGGTCAAAAGAAGCCAAAATAAAACAGAACTTGGATCAGAATGCACAATTGCAACAGAAAAGACTATACCTAATGAACTAGAAAAGATAAGAATGAACTTAAACTAAATGAAACTTCAAAAGTGGAAATTAAAAAAAGGATTGAAGTACAATTCCGGAAAATACGGGAAATCCGTAAAAAAGGGAAATGGTTTCAAGAAATGGGTGCACTGATTTAAATTTAGCTACGCATCTTAATCCCAGTGCCATGGGAGCGGATGCATACTGACTGGAACAACACAGAGTTGTGCCATTACTATTCAGTTCCAACCAAATGTTACTTTTCATGATACTACCAGAGCTACAAGCAAAACCACCAATACTACTCAGCATAGTAATATTGCGATGTACCATCTGATCAATACTGTACTCGAATACTCCATCGCAAATTTCTTATGTCACACTCACAATGGACCATTCATTTATCTCACAATTTTATAATTTTGGCAACAATTTAGCATGACTTCCATGACTGAACCAATGTCAGAGAATCTATTTATATTAAATGCCGCCTAATGAAGACCTTACTGTGTAAGAGTGACCAATATACTTCCAAAATCAAACTTTTCATTTTAAACGTGAGTATCTAGTGTGCGTAAATGGTTAAGTTGTTATCATATAATTAGGTAGGAATATAATTAAATTTGACATTCATGTAGGAAATTTTGGAATTAACTTTTAATTTTTGAATCGTTCTTTTTAATTTCTTTTTCACCCTAACAAATTGTTATATGACGAGATTTATATTAAAATATATGATCGTAAAGAATTACATTTTTATATTTGTAAACATTAAAATAATTCAACAAGAAGTGAACTCTTGTGGTGAAAAATGGAACTGATATCAAATGACAGCTGGATGGAATTAGTCTCAACTTTTCCGTATTAATACTGCCATACAACGTAGTCACATCACGATTCAGCGTAGCTCTAGCTCTAAACAGAGTAACCAGTAAAATACAAACCCGTCTACCGCTCTACTGGATAAATTAGGTCTTTTGCGGGAAATTGCTATTCCTATTCTTCATCTTATTTTTAATCGCATATTGCTGTAACGTTCTTTAATAGTAATATAGCTATCTTAGGTGTATCTATAAAAACGCTACCCTAAAATAACGCTACACTAAAAAAACGCTACATAGGCTATATTCGCTACAAGTTTATTGCCTGTTTCTTGCTGTGTATAAGTTTATAATTTAAGAGATATATACTTTTAAATTCTCATAGTCATAAATGGAAAAATTATAAGGTACCGCATATTATTACGGTCATTCATTCTTGAATGGGCAATTAATTCTATTTTTATGACATTTTTCATGTACATAACATACTATCTTAAATTCAAATATTTCGCACTTTTCCTTGAAAGGAATAGTACTATCCATTGCATTACATTTTGGGTTGCTACGTGAAATTCTGTTGAAATTCATTGAAAATGGATTTTTATCAGTGTGAGTGTGCATTTGTCAAGTCAAACTTTAAAGCGTACATTGCACATAGATTGAAATCTGATCTGTTTTCATTCACAACTCCCTTTCTTGAAGAGTTAACGAGAAGAACAAAACTGTTTTGAATTTTTAATATCATATTATCATAATCATAATCATATTAATTAGCTTTTCTCATACTTTTACGTACAAAGGTACACAGTCTGGTGAATTCTACTTTTACGTACAAAGGTACACAGTCTGGTGAATTCTACTTTTTCCTTCTGTCTGGTTTTGACTAGAGTCCATGAAGACTAAAATTTAACCGACGCGCAATGAAAAGATTTAGAATTTTTACCTCAGGCAAAATTATTGTTAAACTTTTCTATAATATTTTTTTAAAAGATATTTAAGAGAGTGTTGTAAAACTAAAAGAACTGAGAAGGTTTAAGTGCATCATGTTTTAAAGAAACAATGAAAACTTTGGTTCCGAGGTATTTAACTAAATCCAGCTTTCTCTTTTATATACTTTTAAACATCTAAGGAGATTCAACTTTCAAACTTTTTTAATTTCAAGAAAAGATTATTAAACTTGTTTTCAATTGTTGTATACAATTACAAAAGAAACAAAATATCTGAAAAAGGAAAAATTAACTGAATTTTTAACTGAAATAAACTTTAATTTATTAAAATATTACCTAGAAAGAAACAGTTTAGCATACAGGGTGAGTCAAAAAAAGTGTGATTATTGGCGCCTGGTGAAACATTGTACCTTTTTGTGAAATAAATTCTCCTGTATGGCTTTTTTCAATATTTTAAGATTTTTTTTGGTATTTTTTTGGCCCAAAAAAATCTGCGAACCTTTTTTCTCTCAAAATCAAAAGTTCAGAAAAGCAAAAATGTGTATATAAATTATTTCAAGCGAAATCTAAAATTTTATAAAGATTGAATCACAAAATCACAGAAAATTCTCAATACTGTAAAAGCCTAATTTTTAAGGAAAAACTGTTTTTCAATGGCTCTTCAGGCTTCAATGGAACAGCGTATATTTAAAACTTTAGAATATATTAAGAAAAAAAGAAACTAGAGAATTTAAATAACTTTTCCTTAAAAAATATACCAGAACGGAAAATTGGGATTTTTATTTACAATTTTGCTAATTTTCTATGATTCTGAGATTCAATCTAAAATTTTAGATTATACACATTTTTGCTTTTCTGAACTTTTGATTTTGAGAGAAAAACCATTGTAATACCAAAAAAAGAAAAAAAAAGAAAAAAATATTGAAAAAACACTATACAGGAGAGTTGCACAAAAAAGGTACAATTTTGTGCCAGGCGCCGCTAATCACACTTTTTTTGACTCACTCTGTATATATTTAAGAAATGGTTCAAGTTAATCCCCCGGATTAACTTAAACCGTGAATACCGTCTTAGCCCTTCAAAAACACACGTCCCAACAAGGAACGACCATCATCACAAAGTTTAATATAAAACTAAAGTTTCTTTCATGTTTTCTTTAATGTTCAAACTTGCATACAATTTATAAGCACTTTAGATTCTTTCAAATTTTTTGCTTTGTTCAAACTAGATGATTAGAAGGGTTTAGGTTAGATCCTTATTTTTATTTATCTCAAGTTTTGAGAATCATTTCGCTTTAACGATAAATCTAGATTTTCTTTTAGAGATAGTTTCCAGTAAATAGATTACAAAGGATTAGAGTTGAAATAATTCTTCCCGCATTTTCTACAACGTGATTAAACCAGACATTTAGCACGGTGATAATCCGGAAAAATAAAAAAATAAAGATTTAAGTCTTTTTCTGGGTTTCTTATTTATATAACCAAGGTGTATTTTGATATACAAGCAGACATTACACATTTCTTTAAAAAAAAGCTGGTTTTTTGGTATGCAACAATTTTTATTTAATCCCGCCCCTTTTAATAATAATGATAATAAATAATAAAATTAATTTGTTAATTTTTACAAACTCATTTACTCTCAGATAAATTAGAATCAATGGAAATGAATTGAGTCTATGCCACAAACTCTGATTTTCTAATCACTATATCTTTGGAAACAAATGTTGTAGACCATAGATATTTCAAACTAATAATTCTGTTAGCTCAAATAATCTGAGTTTGAAATATCAAAGGTTTACAACATCGGGTTCTAAAGATATTGATATTGCCGCTAATATACGTAAGAATCTCTAATTGGGTTATGATATTTTAATATGTTGATAGATAGATAGATTCTACAGCTCATGCAAACTCTAAAAAAGTCACCAAGCGCAAGATTGGATCCTAGACGCTATCGGACAGTGGAACCACGGGTGATATTAACAATCGGACAGACAAGAATTGTATTAATATATCTGAAATTACACAAAATATCCTAGTTAACGAATTACTAAATCGTCAAAACGCGTAAAAACATATTCGCTATAGTTTCAATTACTCTGAGCATCCTCATTCCAAAAGGAATTGAGTCTTTGCCACACGATCAATTTTAATAATCCATATGTCTTTGCAACCTGATGATATAAACCTCTGATATTTCAAACTTACATTATTTGGTCTAACAGCATTCATAGTTTGAAATTTCAAAAGTCTACAACATTGGGTTGCAGCGTTATTGAAATTAGAAAATCAGAGTTTGTGGCAAAAACTCAATTCCTTTGGAAAGAATTCTGAGTGTTTTAGAATTGGCGAACTTTCCCTTGAAATGTGTATTTAGAAGAATCTTAAACACAAATAATGTTTAACGGTAAAAGAGAAGTAAGAAGACAGTAAGTGAAAATAATGGGTTGCTTGCCTCCGGTAAAGGAAGAGTTTGCGAATTTGAAGTTTAAACTGATGTTCTCTCTAAAAAAATAGTCGGCTTACCTTAAAATTGTTGATCTCGAAAAGATTTAACTGGTCGCATCCATCTTTATCTAAAAAACGAAACTTTTTATATGATTCAATCATTTGGAAATATATAAACCCTTCATTGTTAAAAAATAACGTTTTTGAACTCACACAAACTGCAAAAGTCCATTTTTGAATTTGTCTTTGTAAAATATGAATGTGCTTTTACTGCATAATAGTTATATATATGTAATAAATGTTAAACAATTCTCCATCAAAAAAAGTTCATAATATTTAGTATATAATATATATATTTTAAATATATATATATATTATATATTATATATATATAATATTTAGTATAGATATATTATGAGAAACGCCTTTTGGCTTCATATGAAAGTAAAGGAATTTTGTCTTTGTCACAAACTATGATTATCTAATCCCTCTTGTCTTAGTAACCCAATGTCGTAGACCTTAAATATTTCAAACTATGAACTCTTTCAGATTAAATATTCTAAGTTTGAAAGGTTTAAGCCACCAGATTACAAAGATATAGAGATTAAAAGGCACATTTCCCTTACTAATCGATTTGAATAATTTAATGAAGCCGTTGTTTATTCATGTGTTTAAACTCATAAACACCCCCTTTATTCATGTAAAATGTAATAAGATATAAATTCTATTAAATTCCTTCATTATTCTAATATTCCATGCATTGCATATTTTATCCCTAATTATATTATTTGTTTTATTTAAAGATATTATTTTCAAATTTAAACGTCGTCATAAGCTATTTACATTTAAATACAGCTTAATCTAATTAGAATATTTTGAATTTAATTCAATTCAAAAATTTTATCAAAGAGAAAAGTAACTATTTTTAAGTTTTGTGAAAAGAATTTAAAACTTTACGAAAAATATCAAAATTGATGAATTAAAATAAAGTTTTAATTAAAATCATCAAAACAGTTTTTTCTTCTTTAAAGTTTTACAAAGAAATTGAGTCTTTGCCACAAACTCTGATTTTCTAATCACTATTTCTTTGGAACCAAATGTTGCATACCTTAGATATTTTAAACTATAAATTCTATTAGATCAAATAATCTGAGTTTGAAATATCAAAGGTTTACAATATCGAATTCTTAAGATATTGTGGTTTAAATATTTGATTTTGTTCCAAAGACTCAATTTCTTTGTTAAAGGAGGGATTTAAATTTTTGTCTAAATTCTTTTATTTTTTTGTAATCTCTCCTCCTTGTTTGGGGTTTTTTAAAATTTTTCTAGTTTAGTATTTGTTTTCCAACTAATTTATTCCAGGATAATTATTTATACTTGAGACATATTAGCGGAGACATGTTTTTCTTTATCCTCGCATAATTAGTTCTCTTGTTATTCTTACACTAACACTGTCAGCAAATAATTCTATATTTATGATCGATATAAATCTAAATGACATATTAGATTTGAAAGACACCCTAATGCTAAAAATAGTTGCTTAAATTTATAAGACTGGACCGACTTTAAGGTGCCAAAACGCCTTTTATGTTTACCTAACTAACTTTTTTTAGCCCTTTACATGACTTTTTTAAAAACTGTTAAGCACATACTTTGTAGTTTAAAAAAATAATGGGCAAAGGAATTGAGTCTTTGTCACAAACTATGATTTTATATTCCCAATATCTTAGCCACCCATATAACAAGTACTGTGCTACCCAGTGTAGAGTAGACCCAGCACGTGCTATGATGCAATAAATGTAGCCTGGCAAGATCACATTGATATCGACTTTTATAATAGTCGTGTTCTCATTTAACTTTATTCTGGTACAAAGAGACCCAAAGCTTGCAACCTTTTACGTTAAGATCAATCAAGAGTTTACCAATTACTTTCTAAAAACTAAAGCGCTTTATATTTCTAAAATGTATACATTTAGCTAGAACTACAAAAAGCGTAGACGAGTTAGTGCAGTAAAATCGAAAACCAAGGTGTTGCGAAAATATCGATCAAATCTTGAAATTGCTGCAACTTTTCATGGCAGACTGCAGCAAAGAAAAAACAGTATGACCGACATTTTGAAAACGTTTTTATGGTATGACCAAACAATAATTTATGTAAGCTGTATTGAGAATATTTATGTTATGCGTTAACCCCTGGGGATTCTATAGGTTTAATAATATTCCCCAATCTAGTAATATGCTTTTATACTTGAATGGAGAAGATTAAGCTCACCCAGGAAAACTAGCATTGAACCTTGAGCACATTGATCCAGACTGCTTTAAAAAGTTGCTTTAATTTTGCAACAACGCGCGGGTTGACTTTAAATTGTCGAACATCTTGGTATTTTATCTTACATATTTTTACTTTTTTTTATAGCTTTCATAACCATAAACCACACATTTTTAGATTCAGATTTTAACAAGTTTTGCAAAATTCTCATCAATTTTTGCAAAAGAGCGTGTAACCTTCGGATCTCTTTGTGAAACAAAAATGCAAAAAGTTAATTTTTTTTATTGACATTTTCCCTTTGAAATGCTGTACCACGATTCTAAAATTTAATATCACGCAACCATGATCAAACAGTAAAAATTCTTAGAATACATCCTTCCTTCCCCTCTTTCATTTGAACTTAACAAGAGAGATGAAGAAAAAAAAACATCAAATTCGAACACGCGTTAAAAGGAAATTCCATAAAAAAACAATTATTTAGTAAAAAGAAAAGCTATGTGTGACTACTTAGAACTTAGAAGTATACAGTATTGATTTCGTTTCTCAAAAACAACATGATAAAAATCTTCCAGATGTCACATTTGAGGACACCCCTTATCCTATAATGGTCTGTGAGAGCTGAGTAAAGTGGTTCCTAGTATATAATCCAATAAAACGAGTTCTCCAGAAAACTGCGAGAGCTTGAAACACATAATTCGAAAAATAAGTTCCATAGTACAAACTAGAAACAGTTAAATTTCGTTGTCTATGCTGTGCAAATCCGCGAGTCGCTTTGAAAAGAAACCATATATAGAAGTTGTCAATTTTCAAATCTTCATTATTTTTGGTCAGTTAATCGCATCAAGGGTTTTGAATAGACCTTGAAAACGAAGGGACACTAGTAAAATTACGTAGACAGTACCTTTAGTAGATTTAATAGGTTAAACTAGCAATTTTGAGATAATTGCATAAAGGTTCCGTCCCACATTTTTGAGTGAAATCTTGTTGTATTGTTTTAAAGTCATAAACTCAAAACAATCGAAATTAAATATGCATACGCTTACGCAACATTTTTGCACATTACTTTTTTTAAACTAGAAGCTAAAAAGCTAGAAAGCTAAAAAGAAGCTAGCTAGCTTATTAAGTTAGCATAAAGGTAAACCCAAAAGCCAAGGTGTTTCTTCACTTCAAAATTGACCCGGTCTTGAAAATTATGCACAATTATCTTACCCGCCTGGATCTCTGTAGTTTTCTAGTATCTATACTAATATTGTATTTTGGACTGTGCTGATTAAGGGGGAGATTTGCACAAATAAATAAATAAATAAATAAATTAAGCATGGGCTTATAGCTGTAAAGGGAGGGGAAGGGGTTGTGGGTTGGTTTAAATGAGATGTTTTCAAACACAGAATTTTTCCAAACCAAACGACTGCTCCAGAACAAAAAAATAGTGTTCATTGGAAAATAAACTTTTAAGTAATTACATTTTCATAAAAATACCAATTTTTAAATCTTAATATGTTTGTAACCTGATGTTGTAGACCATTGATATTTCAATCTATGAATTCGGCTGGGAAAAATAGTCAAAGAAAGGAACTGAGTTGTTGCCACAAACTACAATCGTCTAAGCCCTTTATCTTTAGAACCTGAAAGTGTAAACCTTTGTTTTCTAACGGAGTAAATAGTTTGCGATATCGAAGGTCTGTGACATTGGGTTGCAAAGATTTAGGAATTCGAAAATCAGAGTTTGTGACAAAGACTCAATTGCTTTCTAAGATTTACACAATCAGGTTGCAAAGATAAAGGGATAACAAATAGCGTTTGAGGCGATTTAATCATTTGTTTTGTAATGTTTATAGAAGTAGAAGAATTATTGAGTTAGCACATTATGATATTATCTTGTTTCAAGGTGTTAAAAGAGTCTTGCTTGGCAATTGACTTAAGTTAATGAGGTAATGCCTGAAGAAAGAGGATAAAGGGGGAGATGGGAAAGTATACAATGCACTAAAAGGATCCTGGCAGAGCTGGCAGGAAGATTACTAGAATGGGATGTATTGACATCTATTGGTATCCTGGTATCCGAAAACTCGGAGATAATCCTCACACCACAGATCCAAATCCTAGGCTCTTTTATCCAACTACAAACCTGGGTTCTTTTCCAAACTTGATTCTTGACCCTACAACTCCAAACTTTGGAACTTGGAACCAACAAAAAACTGGGTTCTAAGATACAATTAAAAACCTTTGAGCTTAGAACCACTTTCAAACCTGTGTTTTTTTTAACCAACTCTAAACCTGGGTTATAAGATAAAATATCTTGAAGTTTAGCACCAATTCAAACCTGGGTTCTTTCAAACAACACTAAACCTCGGTTCTTAGAACCAACTCCAAACCTGAATTCTTAGAACCAACTCAAAATCGGGTTCTTAGAACCAACACTAAACCTGGAATCTTTAAACCAACTCCAAACCTGGTTTCTTAGAACCAACTCCACCTGGGTTCTTAGAACCAACTCCAATTCTTGGAGCTTAGAATCAACTCCAAACTTCGGTTCTTAGAACCAACTCTAAACCTGGGTTCTTAGAAATAACTCCAAACCTGGGTTCTTTGAAACAGCTCCAAACCTGAATTTTTAGACTCAACTTCAACCTCGACATTTTTAAATTTTTTCTTCTTTAGATTAATCTGTATTCTTCATTTATTCTTTATCTTGTGTGGTGTTAGTATAAAGTTCGTGATTCCTATCTAGAAGTTAGTTTTGGAGTTAAGTTTTTACTTAATGTTGTTCTCGACTTTCCTACCTAATAAGTCGCCATAAAAACGCTAAGAGAAAAGCTGTTCGGAGGGGAAATAAGAAAATGTTTTATATTTTTCTTCTTT